GGGCGGAGGCGGCGGCGGAGGCGGTCGGGTCGCGGGGGCGCGGCCCGGCCACCAGCGAGAGGGGCAGAAGCACCTGAGACAACGACCGAGAGGCAGCTTCACTCGCCAGTCGAATACTGTGACGGTCGAGGGCATCGACCGGACGAAGGCTCCACTCACCCCAACGACTCTTCGTTACGTTCAACAATGCTATGGTCTCTCAAACAACGCTCCGTTTCTTGCAACAACTCTCCTTTCCCTTGAGCAGTGACCCGTTCCATCCTACAACGCTTCGTTCCCTTTAAAAATGCTACGTTCTCTCACACAATGTTCCGTTCCTTGCAACAACGCTCTGTTTCTTGCAACAACTCTCCTTTCCCTTGAGTAGTGACCCGTTCCATCCAATCCTACGTTCTCTCACACAATGTTCCGTTCCTTGCAACAACGCCCCGTCCCTTCCAACAACGCCCTGTCCCTTGTAACAACGCTCTATTCCTTGCAACAACGCTCCGTCCCTTGCAACACGCTGCATTTCTTGCAACAACGCACCGTTCCAATCAACAATTCTACGTTCCCTCCAACAAAGCTTTGTTTCCTTCAACAACTCGCCACTCAGTCGCTGGCCTCGATCACTCGAGTGCATCTTTCACTCAAATGCCTTGGTCACGCGCATGCATTGTTCATTCAATGTTCAAATTTCAATGTTCGTATTATCTTTATTGACATGATTGACATTGACATGATTGATTATCTTTATTAACACTTACATTGTTATCAACGTGCGGTCGTATATGTTCCATTGTGATATCTTGCACAAGCAGAGTTATGTTGTGTTTTGAATTTTCTGCCAAAGTGCGATTCTCTCGTGGAGTCAGATCTGCAAGAGAAACGATATTAAATGGATAATAGTAAAGACAAAAATCAGCGTCTTTACTATGAAACAGTATAAAGCTAACATGTAATTAATTTATAACATTAATATTTATTGAAAACAAATGAAGAACTTTGTCTTATTCAATCGCCTTTAAATGTTTTTATTTATGTGGCCAAAAATGTTACATGGTACACATTTTATATTTAACATAATAAATCTGTCTTTAGTACATAAATGGCTTTCGATTACATCAGATGTAATAAAAGAAATTAGCGAAGTTAATGTACAGGAAGTCCCACCAACTATGGGCCACCTCCATAACTTCTAAAGGATTCCCGATATAAAAATACACTTTTAGCTAAACAATGCGGAATCACCAGGCAGGTGATATGGTGAAGATATATTGTTTCAAATATCTTTAGTTTACGAGAAATTTAATCATCTTTAATTTTTTAAATGGAAACATAAATTTTTCTCAATAGCAACAGATAGATCAGAAAAGGAATCCAATGGTGAAATATATTATTATTTTGATAGTATTTTGTAAATAAAGTTATACTTCCTACCATGAGATTTTAAATAGCCGCGAAGGCAACTTTCGCTAAGGTGACAGTTGCAAGGGTTGCTGTAGGAAATCTCGTGTATTTAATTTAAAATAGATATCAAAAAGTATAATCTTATACTCCAAATACTATCAAATCATTAGCATATGTTACATCATTACAGATTACTTGATCCATGATTCCGCATTTTTAAACAAAAACTGCATTTCGATATCAGGAACCGTTAGAAGTTCTGGCGGGGCGCATAGTTGGTGGGACTCCCTATATGTTCATTAATCAAATGTAGTGCAAAATGTGTCGAAATGTTAAGAAGACAATCTGATAAGATACTTTCCAGTAAGGTATATTTTGGTGTACGCCTTAGCGGGTTAATCAACGTTAAGCGAAATGACGATCTAATTATTAAAAATCAAAATAAATTTTTACAAAAACTTCGAGTAGCAAGTGAAAATAAGAAAGTACTGAATTGCTGATACTTACAGCAACTGATAATTGCGTGTGGAAAGGGCCATTTGAACTTTAACTCAGTTGTTGGCCCGCAGCGCACCAACCACAGCTCCGACGGGTCTTCCACAATGCTGATTTGGTATCGCTGCCTCAAATCTGAGTCGCTGTCTTGAAGAAGCAGCGCATTTTTCGCATATTGTGCGCCCTGGAACGGAAAATATCGAAACAATAAATCAACCGATTGATTTGTGATTCCGGGCGCGGCAACTGCTAAGGTCATTAGTTCCGTAAGTGTAATGAATGTTTTTTATCTCGGGAGGTGGTGACGATCTTCCTCCGCTGGATGGCGAGATCCGGTGTTGACCTACACAGCGGCTTGCAGGGTTTCCCCAACCAGATATCTCGCACCAACTGGGCGTCGCCACAGTCGGGACAAAATCTAAGCTCCCGAACGGTCTTCAGGCGTGTGTGGTCATGTAGTGCATGTTAGTATGTGTCTATGAGGTGAGGACAGAACAAGGAGGAGGAAGGAAATAACGCGCGCGGACAGTGGCTGTGGGGTTTAGAAAATCTGCCACTATCGGGACTCGAACCCTGCCCGTCAACGACGCTGCAGGCAGTAACGCTGCGTCAGAGCCATCAGAGCCGGGTACGTACCAGGGTTGTCCCGGGGTACCCCTCCCCCGTCGTGGGTGGTACAGTAGAATCTCCCTAATCTGAACCCCGTAGATCCGAAATTTCTGATAATCAGAACAAAATTTGAGATGAAGGAAAACTAAACAAAATACATAAAATGCTTATTTGCAGTGTAAAGAAAAGACTTTATAATTACTGTAGAACTGAACCATTAATTACTGAAGTTGTTGAAATGAAACGTGTATTGCACCTGTAACTACGGTGTGTATCACATGCTTATACAGCAGTGATTTTCACTTAGAGAAACCTGCAGAATTGGTAATCATCTTTTGCCGTAAGCAACTGAATCTGCCTGATGATGCGATCGCAAAACTACGTTTTCATTTTTTCACATCACACGCTACGTTGCATATACAGGTAATCCTCTATTTATACATTGAAACGAAGAACGTTTCCGCATGATAACAAGCAAAATTGATACTAATTCTAAGTAAAAGAAGCAC